GCGTGTGGGTTGTCACCGCGCGCCAGGGAGGTCACCGCGTGTGGGGACGTCACCACGCACCAGGACACGTCACCGCGCGCCGGGAGGGACATGTAACCGCGTGTGGGGACGTCCCCGCGCACCAGGACACGTCACCGCGTGTGGGGACGTCCCCGCGCCGGGCTGCGGCGCGCCGCTCACCGGTGCTTGTGGATGATGGCGTTGAAGGCCAGCCCGTCGCGCCAGCTCGTGGTGAAGTTGTGCACGTTGACGTTGGCGTAGCTGCGGGCAGCGGGTGAGCGTGGGGGTCCCGCGGTGTCCCCGCCGTGTCACCCCCCGTCCCCGCGCTCACCCCGCCGTCTTCATCTGGCACCAGAGCAGCAGCGCGTCCTTGGCCGACTTCTTCTCCTTGTTGTCCTCCGTCTCCACGCTGATGTCCTGGATCTGGGTGGCGCGGCCACGTTGGCGCGGACGGTACCCACGGGTGGCGCGGGGGACGCGGGGTCCCCCAGGGACCCCACGGTGGGTGCTGGGACCCCATGGGGGCTGCAGGGACCCCATGGCGGGTGCAGGGACCCCGTGGGGCTGCAGGGACCCCATGGCGAGTGCAGGGACCCCATGGCGGGTGCAGGGACCCCATGGCGAGTGCAGGGACCCCATGGGGGTTGCAGGGACCCCATGGTGGGTGCAGGGACCCCGTGGGGCTGCAGGGACCCCATGGCGGGTGCAGGGACCCCACAGGGGTTGCAGGGACCCCATGGGGGTTGCAGGGACCCCATGGCGGGTGCAGGGACCCCGTGGTGGGTGCTGGGACCCAATGGTGTGTACAGGGACCCCTTGGCGGGTGCCTGGGCCCTGTGGGGGTTGCAGGGACCCCTTCGTGGGTGCAGGGACCCCATGGAGGCTGCAGTGACCCCATGGTGGGTGCTGGGACCCAATGGTGGGTGCTGGGACCCCATGGTGTGTACAGGGACCCCATGGCGGGTGCAGGGACCCCGTGGGGGCTGCAGGGACCCCTTGGCGGGTGCAGGGACCCCATGGGGCTGCAGGGACCCCCATGGCGGGTGCAGGGACCCCTTGGCGGGTGCAGGGACCCCCATGGCGGGTGCAGGGACCCCTTGGTGGGTGCAGGGGCCCCGTGGGGGCTGCAGGGACCCCTTGGTGGGTGCAGGGGCCCCGTGGCGGGTGCAGGGACCCCATGGGGGCTGCAGGGACCCCATGGCGGGTGCAGGACCCCATGGCGGGTGCAGGGACCCCTTGGCGGGTGCAGGGCCCCCCAGGCGGCACCTGGAAGCGCAGGATGACGGTCCAGACGAGGCCCAGCGTGAGGCGGTGGTTGCCGTCCACGATGTCGTGCGAGCCCACGTTCTCCAGGTGCACGCGCTGCTCCTTGAGGAACTGCAGCGCCTTGTCCACGTTCTCCAG